GAGATAGTGACACTTCATTACAGGTGAAATTTGTAAACTGGGAGACAAACAGGGACGTTCTGGTTAAATACATTATTAACACGTGCCTTTTCAGGTAATTGTAAATCTGAGAGTGTCCGTGTTAGAAGGAAAGTATGCGTGTGACAACCTCCATGGCGATGTCAGAGTGAACGCTTTGTCTTGAAAACCGCTGATGAGCATAGAAATCGTAAATTGCATCTCACCTCCCTCGGATTAGTCAGGATACAGGCCAAGCTGCTGATGAGAAGATCCCAAAACATGGCGGCTCAATCAGGATAAAGTTTACTTTTTTCATGTGACATCCAGGCTGTGCTCCACAGCGTCATCTGAGGACCCGGGGCCTTCCCTCCTTTTCTTGGAGTGTAATCTTGGTGGAAAAGGCTGCCCCCGCCCGCCCCCACCATGCTGTTCAAGCCACAGGAGCGGAGGGACAGGAATTGGCATTTCCTTCTAAATGGTAAATGGCGTTACAGGGGACTTCCCTGGCGGTCCAGTGGTGGGGACTTTGCCTTTCAACGCGAGGGGTTCGGGTTCGATCCCTGGTCGGGGAGCTAAGCTCCCACGTGCCTCATGGCCAGAAAACCAAAACATAAAAAAAGGAGAAGCAACGTTGTACCAAATTCGATAAAAGACTTAAAAAAAAAAATGTCATTACCAAACACAACGCAGGCTAGAATTGGCACAGGTCCCTCTCGCTTGCCTCCATTGACTGGAATTTTGACGTGTGGCCAAGCCTCCTCGCGAGCAAGGCTGGGAGGTGGGGTTCTTAGCTGGTGAGCTTGGCCCCGGTTGAAACTTGGAATGTTCTCCCCGACCGGAGGATCAGGTGGACTCGGGGGACAACTGGCCATCTCTGCTGTCTTCTCAGATCCCGCAACGCTTGGTTGGTTGGCGCTGGGTGCTCTCCCCCTGGGGCCTGCTCACGCTCCAGGGACCTCACCGGGCTGTGTCTCCCCAGGAGGCCAGGTCCTGGGTCTCCATCTCCAAGCCTTTGCTCAGCCTGGCTCCTCTTTGAATGATCACTGGGCTTTCCCGTCACCTGGGCCCGGCCGGTGTTAACAGCAGGATTTAGAGCTGCATGGATCCTGGACCTCCCATCCTGGGAAAAGTCCTTCCAGCCGGAGGCCCTCAGCCAGGCCCTGGTCCGGGGACTGGCTTGGCAGCCCACAGGGTTATCCGTTCGGTAGGTGTTTTGAGCGTGTGCTCTGTACCGGGCCAGGGTCAGGGATGCAACAGCAAGCGCAAGCAGGTGGTGTCAGTTCTGGGGGCGGACGGTCCCGGGGCCCCCGCTGGTGACACGTGCCGCCCGGGAGCGGGAGAGCTGGCGCGTCCTGCGGGTCTAAAGGCTGAGTGAGCTCCGTGTCCACACGCCTCACCCCAACTTGCTGGGGGGTTGGGCAGTGAGACCCGGTCCCGGGCAGCGCCCTCGGGAGCCTCGTGGGCAGCCTGGCGCCAGCGGGGCATCTGTAAAGCCCGCCTGCGCGTCGATCCCGGTGAAAGACAGAGCTGGGGCTGCTGCGCACGCGGGAGATCCCCTGGCTCCTCCACGGCCGAGCCGTGAGCCGTGAGATTGACGGCATCTGTCTTCATTATCGCGAACGCCCCACTGGGTGGCTGTGTTAATTGTCCTCTAGGCATCCCAGTTGCGTTTTCCTTTCATTTTTCCCTTTTGTTGTACTTTGTTTCCTCAACGTCTCAAGCCTCCCGAGGGGCTCCATGGCAGTGTTCGACTCGGCGGTTCCTCCGAGGGGAGTGCGCGGTGAGACCTTAGAGGGCCCGGCTGCAGAGACCGCGTGGACGTCCTCAGCCTGGGCCAGGGGCTGCTCTCAGGGGTCCTCTGGCTGCTGCCCTGACGTCTGTGGAGTCTTCCGCTGACAGAGCGTCCGCCTGCCCTGGGCCCTCATCGTGCACTGATCTGCTCATGTCCTCAAGGTCTCTGAAGGTGCGAGGCTGGAGGTGCCGAGAGCCACCCGCTCTGAGCGGGGCCGGGCTGCGAGGTCGGCCCAGGGGCAGCTGCCCCTCTAGCGGCGTCTCTTGTTCTGCACTCCCAGGAGCGCAGCCCGAGTGTTCAGGAGGCCTCCGCCCTCTCCGTTGGCGCCGGCAGAGGCTGGTCTTGGCGGTCTGGGGCGGGGGTTAGTGAGGGGTGTCTCCCGCGCTGCCTGTCTGCGCCCGCCTTCGCGCTCTCTCGCCGCCTCCTGGTCCGCCGCCGGCGGGAGCCTCAGCGGGCGCGGCCGGAGCCGGCGAGGTTGCCTGCTGGCTCCCGCCCCGCGCTCTGACCTCGGGGTCAGGGCGGCCGCCTGAGGCTGTGGCCGAGGCCCGCCCATGCCCCGCCCGCGAGGTGACTGGCGCCTCTCCAACGCTCGCCCCAGGCTCGGGTCGGCTTTTCCCAGATCCAAAGGCGCGCGGCTCCCAGCGGTTGCCGGGACACGTCTGTCGTCGGCCGCTCTCTCACCCCGCTCTCTCCTCAGCGTGTCTGAGGAGCGGCCGGGGCGGCCGGGCGAGCGCCGCGGCCTGTTCTGGAGCCCCCGGTTCAGCGGGGGCACCACGGTGGGCGGAGGGCGCCCTGCGCACCCCAGGAGGTGGGGGAGCGCGGGGCCCGGGGCCGAGGCGGGAGAGGGGAGGGCCGGGCGGTGGGGTGGAAGCCGGGCGCGCGGGTCCCCGGAGGGCCCTCGGCGGCGGGGTGAGGCGCGCAGGGCTCGGCAGGGGGGTGGAGCCTGCCGTTGGGTTGACCCGAGTCACCCCGTGGGAGGGAAGTTGGAAGCGCAGAACTTTGAGGTCACAGCCAGCCTAGCGGCTGGTAGAGGCCGGCCCGGGAGGCCGGGGCCCGCGCGCGCACCGGCTCGGGGGGCCGCGCCCGCTCTGCAGAGTCGGCGGAGGACAAAGGCCCCCTGAAGGTCCGGAGTGCGGGCCACACGGGCCGGAGCCGGGGCGGCACCTCGGTGCCTCTCCGCTGACCCTCCGTGTGTGCCCGCGGCCTCTGTGTCGGGGCCGGTGGGGTGGTGGGCAGGCCCGAGTGGAAATTCGGTGTCCCCTGCGCGGGACGGCGAGGAGGCGCGCGGGAGGGCGTGCCGGCGTGCCGGCGCGGGGCCCGCAGGTGTGGAGGGTGGGTCCGGCCCTTCTGCTCGCATTTATGCATTTATCCCCCGGTGGGGAGGATTCCCAGCTGGCCCGTCATCTGTGGCTGTGAGAGAGCGGCTCTCGAGGGTGGCCCTTGGCGGGGGGTGACGTGAAAGGATGGGGGGGTGCGCTCGCCGAGCCCACGCTCCAGGGCGGCAGGAGATCCCCCGACCCCTCTCACCCTGATGGGTGTCCCAGCTTCTCCAGGGTCACCGGTGAAACAGGCCCATCGCGAAAACAAAGGCTTCTAGTTGTGACTGACACTTAGGACGGGGAAGCTCCTTTCTTTTGGGAAATTTAACCTCAGGGGCGGGGCGGGGTTCAGACGGACACTCAGCCAGGAGCTCTGGGTGGGCCCCTCCTGAGCACCCACCTCCCGGTATGACAACCAGAAATGTCTCCAGGTGTTGCCAGATGGGGGGGGGGG